TTGTGTGAGGTCACCTGTTCAGCCTCTGTGCCCTTTCTTTCTGAGCATTTCATTGGCCCTGAGATCCCCGTATCTTCCTGTGGGTAGGCATTGCTGCCTAGTTAAAGAAAGCACATATTTTCCTCTGCCTCCAGTTACATAAAACATACAGGGGATTAAAAAGAGAGCTTGTCTTGGGAGAAGAGTTTTGTACATAAATCCGTGTCCTTTTTTTTCAGTATCCCTGTCATCTACGAAGGAAGAAGACTGTGTCACTTTCTGAGAATATCTTGCTACCCCATGTCTTTGCCTATGGAGTAGGGAGGGTATGTGGTGTCAGCAGCATTCTAAAACTAATTGCTAGTAACGCAGAAATTAGTATAAGATTAAAGATCAACATAAAAGCAAAAATGACAAAACTGGCAAGAGGCAGCCTGAAAAATGATTTGGTTTTAGAAGTAGCACACAGGTCTCTAACCATGTCACCTACAGCACACCGCACGGTGGCTCACACCTCACAAAACGGTTAGTGAAAAGTCACAGCAGACGTATGAAAAACACATTAAATGCTGCCATTAGTAGGTAACAAACCGTGCATGTTTTAGTCCAAGCATTCAATATATACTAAGCAAAACCACACACAAATAACTGGAAACAGTTTTCCCTGAATAAAGGAATTTTCACCTGAGGTAAAATCAACACTGTGAACAATTTGTCTATGGGTTTAGAATTTGTTGGCAAACTACTAATTTTCTTCTCCTGGATCAATGTGTTTTGTTAAGTAACTCTTGCTCACAGGCAGAAAGTTCAGCATTTCTTCTCACGCAAGTGCTATCAGGCAGCATATGTATATGTTTTGTGGCATCTTGCATTATATTTATTTAAAGAGCAATCTCCACCTACAATATCTATTGCTATTAGCAAAAACTCTGATATCTCCGAAAAGAAAAAAAAAAAAAAAACCAAAGAGTGAAGAGAAGGAAGCATGCGTAGAATTTCAAACACAAGAAAAAATAATCTAGACAGTAAAAAGGGAGGGGAGTGGTACTTAATGAAAGAAATAATCTCACGTTTTAATTTAATAAAGTAGAATCCGAAAGCAGTAATTTTTTGGGGATTTATGCAGGAATAAGCACAGTAACTCTCAAGTCAAAGGATTCACACTTCCAGTGTTTCTGTATGGTGAACAGGAAGCAAGGCAGGAGATACAATACCAGCAATTGTGGGAGCAAAAGCTTGTCAGCAAGACCTCTGGTTCCAGAAGTCACTTTAAATGAGTGGGGGTGACTCAGAAAGCTTTCTCATGAATGATGACTCTCCTAACTTACTGTACATAACTTTTCTATTAAGGTTCTCAGGAGTTCGACCTATTGCTTGCAACGGAATCTACTGAAGTAGCGGGGAAGGTATTTTTACTGAGTAAAACCTGACTCATAAGCCGCATTCAAATCTAATGAACAAAATCCTGGGTGTAGGAAACACTGACATCCTGTTTAAAGGTGAACCTATGGATTCACCGGCAAACCAAATCATGAAAATCAGCACCTGTAATCTAGACTTGTCTATTTGTTCAAATTTGAGGTATTACAAACACTCAGACCTGCTCTGGAAGCGATAGATACATACTTAAGAACTAAACCTGTGAAAACCAAATGAATGGCTTGAGAGACAGAGCATGGCCATCCACTTTCCCACAATATCCGCCCTTATCTCTAAACTCTAAAGATCAAATAACTTTTTAAAGTTAAATATAATCTAAGGTAACGTTCCTCATGTTGTTCGTTATTCTCACCCTGCATTAGCACAGTTTGCCTTGTGGAAGCATGTGCTGGAAGATGTTCTAAAACGGCATTAAAGCTGAAGGCCCAAAATATTTTATAAGTAATAGTCCAAACTAAAGTGTATAATAAAGCAGTTGTAACTTCTTTAAATTCTAGTTTTGTTTTTTTAATGAGTATAAGTTGGCATAAACTACATAGAAAACGATCAAACAAGTATTACTGTTACAGTTCAACCATGATGATAAAAATATGCAGCTTAAGGGAAATGAGATGGCATTCGCACAGCTAATGTCCTTCAGTAGCTCCTTAAGTTTCCTTTGAGGATAAAGGAAGAGAACCTACAGAAGCTTTAAGGAACTCGTCTGGTCTCACACCTTTTTTGAAAAACTCTTGATTTTAGCACATGTTTAGGGAGTGTGATCTCTGTTCACTTTAATTATCATGTGCCAATATAATCACCAAAATAATTGAGAATGTCTTATGTTTATAGTTGAAAACGTCATCATTTGAGGTGAACATGAGGATGTTTTTCATCTGCATTTTGTTTATCTAGAGTCACTTTCATAAATACTTAAAATTGGTATCTCTTTAAAACTCAAAGTTCAGATACTTCATTCTCTGATAGATAATATTAACTTAATGAGCAGTTATTTATCCACTAAGAATTTATAAGTAGGATTTAAAGTAGTCTGGTATAAATTAACATAAAATGGATCTTAAAATACATTTTCACATGCCTAATATATTTGCGGAATAAATGTACAAACATACAATTAAACAGCTGTGAATATATAATCAGCATATATCAACAACACTACATTTCAGTAAAGACAACAACAATAATTAGTTTTTATTTATATCTACTACTTTCACTAAAAGATTTCCCCCTTAAGCCACCAATTTTATTAATGGGTAATTCACTTATATATTGATATTGGCTAAGAACCATATTTTTACTTATCAGTTCACATTTACAGATAACTTCCCATGCATGTTACATTTTCAGCTAATTTTATCATGGCATAGATAGTGGCAAACTAAACCCTTAAAAACACATTATATCAAACTCATTCTACAACATATTGCAGATTCTCAAAAGATATTTTAAACACCAGTATCTTACATCTTACTAATGATTCTACACACTAAATTTTGATTTCACATAAAATTTCAAGGTATTAACATTTGTGTTTTCTTCAGGTGTATGCAAGCACATTTTTCTCTGGAATCATTTCTCAAAACAAGGCAACTGCCCATGGCATTATTGAATGCTAGTGCTGTGTGCTTGAACATTTCTTGCTATCATAGGAGCTCTCTTCACTTAGAGAGTGGTGTTGCCACCAGCCGCCGGGCCAGAGCTGTGTAAGACCCCATAGTAAAAGCTTTCACTATTCTTTACCATTAAACCTGGTCAGAACACAGGTTAAATATCTACAGTGAGAAGAAGAATGAATAAGAGCCGGTTGCTAATGGCTTATCACGAGGGAGACATCTAGACCCAACCCTCTGGTCTTCATCTTAGAAAACTGGACATTTGTGAGGAGAGCAGGGGAAGTCTAGAGACAATCAGCATGCAGTGAGCCTCCTTAGGATCCCTTGATCAATTCTTTTGCTGTCATTGACCAGCAGGAAATCCACTTACAGGCACAGTCACCAAAGGTCCATTGCCTATGTGAACAAGCTCTGCCCACCCTCCCCTTCTCAAGCTTATACCTCCTTGCTCTCCTTGACTAAGTAGAGAAACCAGACAAGCTTGCCATGATCCCTGCCCCCACTTCTGCACTAAGAGGCCCCACTAAAGACAGCTGTGATAGCACAGGTAGAGAACAAGGTGGTAGTGGTGAGTTTACATTTTTGATCTGGCTGCAAAATTGCTACAAACAGAAATGATTTCAATTTATGACCTAAGATCAAAGTCTGTGTAGCGAATGAAGGAAGGAGGAACGTGTCATGGCAAGATCGAGAGGCTCTTCCACGTGCATGATTTGTAAGTGGGCAAATAAGACTTAATTGCTTAAAAGAAAACAAAGCCCAATAGTATCTAACGAAAAGTGTCATGATACAGTCTCCTTAATTCTAGACTCAAGGTAGGTATGAGACCATTAGAAAAGATCTTCAACCATGCCACCAAAAACTGAATGACACCTTTGCAGTTTTATGCATGAAGACCTAAACTCTCTTATAGAAAATAATTTACTGCCATCAGCATTAATTCCTAGAAATATGGCCTAGAATTTTAAATAAAGTACTTTTCCTGTGCATTCATATCTGTATGTAATTACATTATTTCTTCTCTTTTCAGTTTAAATATAATGGTATGTTGTCATAAAAGCATTTCCAAATTGTCCTAACTAGTTCTATATAAAAGAATAAATAGTACCACTCAAATAAAAACACACCATTTTACATTTTGATTACTTGCGAAGAAAATTTCATGTTCCTCTTATGTAAAACTGATTTTCCAGTCAGGCATGGCAATGCACTCCTTTAATTCCAGTACTTGGGAGGCAGAGGCAGGTGGATCTCTGAGTTTCAGGACAGCCTGGTCTACAGAGCGAGTTTCAAGAGAGCCAGAGCCACACAAGGAATCTTGTTCCCCTTCCCCAAAAAAGTGATTTCCCAAAATGAGTTTCAATTAATTAAAATTAACCATTTTTTATGAATAAATTTCTATTGGAACAAGATTACATACTTGAACCACCAAAAAGAAAAAGAAAAAAAAACCTACAAAAAGAAAACTAGACCTACCACATGAATGAAGATTTGTGAAGGTACTGAGTCTCTGAAGACTTTAAAATCTATGCAGAACTTCCTATCAGTTATGAAAAACATCAAACATCAATTTACTGCCAACATCTTTCAATTTTACGGTATTTTTCTAAAGCAACCTTACAATCAGAGGGACTTGTTGGGAAGAGGGTGTGTTTTAAAGAAAATGGGTGTAATCAAAAAACAAAACAGATTTGCATTTGATCACAATTGCACACGGAATAAAGTTGGATGAAGTCAGTGTGTGGAGCACTGCACAGACCGAGCACATAGTACAGTCTAGGGAGTATTACACATGCGTTTGGTTCTTACATGCAACTTCATAAAGGTCTAATGGAAAGAAAGTGTACTCTCAAGGGCTCCCTTTGCCTTAGACGAAACTACTCGAAACATTTGAAATCCCTCAATTCCTGCACACTTTTACAATGCCAGAAAAGAGGAGAAAGAGAAATGATTAATTTTTAAAATTACCCAGCAACTCCATTGCATCATCTTCATTGTCAATGTCGTCTTCTATGACAGATGGGGTGGGGCTATGCACAGACTCGAAGGAATCCTGGGAAAGCATTGCAGCCAGAAGTTTCTTATGCTGCTGCTGCTGCTGTTTTAACCCTTTCGTCTTGGGCTCCATCTTTAAGCTGGAGAAATATTGATGTGTTAGCCTTGGCCGGTAATGAAAATCTACTGAACTAATGCATTCTCATTGCACTACTGAGTCACATAAACGTATTGCACATTGCTTGTTTTCCCCCAGGATAAAGAAAATAGCATGTTTCTGATGCATCCCTTGGTACTCAGTTCATCCCCCAGTGTGGAGATGCAAGCGTTTGCCCTTCCAGCACGAAGTGTTTCTTCTGATTGCTGCCCCATGACTCAGACTCATACTTATCAGCCTTTCTGATCCTGCAGGAGCTAGAACATCTAAATCATTCCCTGATTTCAGCAAGTGTATGTCATGTAAGCCACACGTGTTAGAATACTGGTGGCATCTTGTTTTATTCATTATGATCAAAACCTACTACTTACAGTCAAAGCTTCCTCCCTCCTGCTGCTCCGTGACTCCCTGTGGTCACCTCCTCTGTTTTCATTCCCTCTCGCCTTAGGGAAAGTTTTGCTGGACCCAGTTTCACTAGACTTATGGTCCATAGCACTTTTGGTGCTTCCCTTTGCTCTCATATTTCAGATGAAAAATCTTTTCCTATTCTAATGATTGTTCCCATACAGGCAGCTTGATATTTACCTATGCCTGCCTCTCAAATTTCTTCTTTCGGGGCAGATCAAATGCCGTAGCAGTTAAGAATATTTGCTGCTCCTACAGAGAAGCAGTATTCAGTTCCCAATGTTCCCATGACAGCTCACAAGTTCCACCACCTTCTTTCTAAGCACCACACACACACACAGGGTGCACAGATAAACATGCAGGCAAACACTCACACATGAAAAGCAAAAGTTACACTTTTTGTCTAAAAGATTCCTTCTTTGATGCTGCTTTCTAGATGCTTACTTAAGTTGTTCTTCTGTGTAAAATGTCTGAGGGATTATCCCGCCTGGTGTTCCATAGTTTCTAGCTGTTCAGTAAGTTTTCGGCTGTCACTCCCAATTCCTTTCCAACCTACCCACTTTCCCCTTTCTTCTTGGCACTTGATACGAATTCCGGTCCTTTCCTTATTTACCCACAGGTCACTGAAGCTGTATCATATGTATGTGTGTGTGCTGAGTGCATATCTAGGCAACACATGCATGCAGAAGCCACAAGCTGGCGTTGGTTCCCCTGAAACTTGAGGCACAGGTGGTTGTGAGCAGCCTGATGTGAGAACTGAGCCCAGGTCTCCTATAAGAGCAGCAAATGCTCTAAACCTCTGAGCAATATCTCCAGACTCCTTATCATCTTTTCTCTTCAATTTGTTTTCTCTCAGTTGTTCGGAACAGACTAATTTAATAGATCTGCTACCGTAGTCTCTAATTCTTTTGTCTATCATGTCTGCCCTACCACCAGGATTGCACTCTTTTTATTTCTGTGAATTCTTGTCAGTGCTATAATTTTCACGACAATTCTATAATTTGTGTTTCATATTATTACTTAGTATGTTTATTTATTACCAGGAATCTGCAATTACTCATTAAAGCATTTTATGATGACTGTTTCCCCTCATTTCCAGGTAATTCTATCACCTGTGTTACCTCAGGCAGACATCGATTGACTTTCAGTACTAGGGCTATGGTTTTTATGATTTGGGGAATGAATGGTATTTTATAAAATTGGGTCCTCTATGATTTGGCTATTATTTTAGGATTCTGTGTGTCCTATGCAATTCTCATAATTTATAAGGCACCCATTATACATGGTTATTGTGTTACTGAATATATATATATATAATATATACATATATACATATATGTGTGTTAGTGTATATATATATATATATATATATATATGAAAGGAAGAAACGAAAAGAATTAAAGGGAGCTGGTCTCAGTGATGGGCTGTGACAGAGCTAAAGAGAAGAATGAGAAGCAAATGGTGCGCTCTGGGTTCTAGTTTTGGGTACCAGAGAGAATGATAGAAAAGGAGACGATGAGGGGTAGTGAAGTACCTGAGATGATATTAAGATTCCAGAAAATGATGACAAGATCTAAGAAATTATAGAGGAAGGAAGTGGGTAAAAGGTTAAAATTCAAGCACAAAAAGGAAGTGAGAGGCTAGGTTTGGGGCAGAGCTACTCATGCTGCCTGTTTTGTCAAGCCAGACAGCATGCTAAGAAACAATACATTCACAGGAAGACTGACGTGAGGATTGGTTACATTGTTGCTATGAGAAAATGTTGGATAGATGTAAAAGGTATGAAGAATGTGACTAATGGGATTCCTAAGTCATGTTTGGAAGACATATATACTATGGAAAAAGAAAAGAGAGAAGGCAATGGGCAAGGATTATCGGTACAGATCACACCTCCTTTTCCTCCAGCATCACAGTCTAAGAATAGAGGAGGTGGAAAGAAGGCCATGATGCAGGCAGTCAGGAAGTGCATAGGGGTGTGTGGGATGAGAAGAAAAGATGGGTGGGTCTTCGAAGGATGCTGGTGGTTCTGCACACATTCAACCTCTTCCAAAGAACACTGGGGATTCTATATGCATTCAACCTCTTTCTAAAAACACTAGAGGCTCTGTACATTCCTAAAATAGATGACTGGAAAGGAGGACATTTTGGGGTCAGGAAGAAACCTGATGAAAGGGAAACTCCCAAGAATCCACAAGATGACCCTAGCAATAGCGGATATGTAACCTGAACTGTTATCTCCTATAGTCAGATTAGTGACTGCCTTAATTGTCACCAAAGAGTCTTCATCAATAGTTAATGGAAACAAAAATAGAGACCCACAGCCAATATTGGGCTGAGCTCTGGGAAACCTTCTGAAGAAAGGAAGGAAGAATCATAGGAGCAAGAGGAGTCAAGGATATCACAACAAAATCCACAGAGACAACTTGCCTCATAGACGCTCACAGAGACTGAACTGGCATGGGACTGACCTAGGCATTCTGCATGTATGTGATAGTTGTGTAGCTTTGTCTTCTTGTTGGACTAGTAACAATGGGAGCAAGGGCTGTCTCTAACACCTCGGCTGCCTCTTTTTGGAACCTATTTCTCATACAGCATTGCCTTGCCCGGCCTGAGTAAGTGAGGGGATGCTTAGTTTAAGGCAACTTGATATTCTATGCCATGAGAGGCCTGTCTCCTTCTGAACAGAAACAGAGAAGTGGATGGGGGTATAGATGGAGGTAGTGGGAAGCAAGGAGGGAACAGAAAATGTGGTCAGGATCTAAAATAAATAAAATTTTAAAAAGCTCTAAATGTCAGTGAGTTTATATGCTTTCCTAATAACTAGCTAGGCAAGCTTTAGAATCAGGGAGCTATGAAAAAAACAAAAAAGTCTTCATTCATGGCTAGAAACCAAATATGAGTGAGTACATCCCATGTTCCTCTTTTTGGGTCTGGCTTACCTCACTCAGGATGGTGTTTTCTATTTCCATCCATTTGCCTGCAAACTTCAAGAAGTCATTGTTTTTTACTGCTGAGTAGTACTCTAATATGTATATATTCCATACTTTCTTCATCCATTCTTCAATTGAAGGGCATCTAGGTTGTTTCCAGGTTCTGGCTATTACAAACAATGCTGCTATAAACATAGTAGAGCATATACTTTTGTTGTGTGATAAGGCCTCTCTTGGGTATATTCCCAAGAGTGGTATTGCTGGGTCCATGGGTAGGTTGATCCCAAATTTCCTGAGAAACCTCCACACTGCTTTCCAGAGTGGTTGCACAAGTTT